ATCTCCGGGAGCCCATATAGACAGGCTCCTTTGGGTCCTTTCAGTACACTATAGCATAAGAGGTCTCCATGCGAGTCCTATACATACATCTGAGGGCGTACCCTGATGTCTGAGGTACCCAACTGCAGCTCCAATGGTCTCTTCTTACACTGGCGGATCCAGGGAGGGGGCATTTAGGGCCATGCCCCCTTCCCAGAGGCCTAAAGTGACCCGTTTTCCCCCTCCCCCAAACGATAATGAAACATAGTTCAATCAGGGCGTGGCCCAGGAGCCGAGTTAGACAGGGCTGTTTTACCACCTCCGGCCCGCAAAGGGACCCAAGCACTGACTCGAAGCGGGTTAAAGAGACCCTCCCACCTTCAAAAAAGTTAATGAATTGGCATGAAAGTGATGTCGCTAGGTTCAGAAAGGGCGAAAACGAATATCTACCAAATTTTATCGAAAAATATTCACCGGTTTTCAAGAGATTATACTTTTATTTTTGTTTTTTTTTTTGGGATATCCGCTGCTGTTCCTAGCGACTTTATTTGAAAGTGCGGCATTTGTTGCGCGCAAAGCAGCCTATACCACCGCATGCTACCAAACGTTTTAGTAAAATACCAGTATAACGCCTTTTGGGGCGACTAACGGAGCGAGCGAGAGGGTGGGCCTTGCACGTGCGAAATTTCGAGGGGGTACCTCCAACTGACTTGTGCACTGCACCCTACTAACCGGTCTCTAGCGATGTGCCAAATTTGAGCACAATCGGCTCAGCCGTTATCGAGATCTGGAAGCGGCGTCCTGCACGTGCGCACGTGCAACATGGGTCCCAACTGACTTTTGCACGGCACCCTACTAACCGGTCCCTAACCGTGTACCAAATTTGAGCGCAATCGGTCCAGCCGTTCTCGAGATCTGGAATCGACCCCTGCACGTGCGCACGTGCAGCAGCACCCCAACTCTGGCACATGGATATGCAGTGCCTAGTGGGTGCCTACCTACATGCCAACTTTCAGCGCAATCGGCCAAGTTGTTACCGAGATATTGCAACAATTAGAAAAGTGACACCTCTTCGTTTTGCACGTGGCACGTGCATAAGGGGTCACCCACATGCATCGGGAATAGTCCAATACTTGGTAGAAGGAATGAAGCTACCCTACAAAAATTACCGCATGTAAATCGGTCAAGTGGTTGCTGAGATATAAGCCTCGCAAAAGCGTCCGCACGGCCGGCCGGCCGGCCGGCCGGCCGCTCATACTCAGAAATTTCCGTTATTCTACGTAAGACTCCGCTCGCTTCGCTCGCTCCGTAATTAAAAAATCATTAGATCTCCGCTGACGTCACACATTCAGAGGGGTATCCAAAAGCATTAGCCCCTCTGAATCAAAATGCTGCAATTTTGAAATTCAATATTTCCGATTTAAGGCATTTCTCGATGTTGTGAGTGCGTGCCGAAACCGGTAATTGTGAGCCAGGGACCCCATTTTGGCTATCTCAGCTCAAATCTAATGTTAAGGTGGGAGGGTCCCTTTAACTGGTCGATAAAAACAATGGTAAGTGTTTACAAAGTAATATAAAGGCATGGGTCGGGTGGGCTACCATTTATATATTTTTCTTTTTAGTTAAAAAAAAAAATCATAGTGTCAGGGCTGTGACGAAAAATAAGTGGCCTAAATCCGATGAGAAAACAGGATTTGGGGGTAGGGGAGAGTGGTGCAGGAGGCCCCCCCCTTAAGCTCAGTTACTATTTTTAGACAACTGATAATATTTAAGCGCTAACGTGTGCATGCGCTGTGAGCATGCATCATTTTCCCATACATATTTGCATTCAAAATGAATCTAGGGGGTACACAAACCGTAAACTTTAACATTTTGGAAAAAGTTGCAAAAGGGCCTCTTACACTATGGGTATGGTAAGACGCCCCCCCCCCCCCCCTCGGGCGTTTTAAAAGTCAAGTCGACTTGTAAAAGACGCTTTGCGAACACAGCTGCAAGGCCTTTTATTTCGAAAAGCTAAGCAAATACGGTGTTATCGAAACCAATAACACTTCCAAAGCGCTCGAACAATGCGAAAACTAGCACAACCAAACGCTGATGACCAACGAAAATTGTACCTATAACCTCTAAGAAAAGAAACAGAAAAAAGAAACAAAAACAAACTCCTTGAAAAGAGAATGCCACGCCTGCCGCAGGTGCAGGCGTTTTAGCATCGGGGGCGTTTTTTTATCGGGGGGCGTTTTATCATCCTCGAAGGGAGGGCCTCTTAAAAAAAATACAGTGTTTTAACGTCCACAATATTTATGGTTTATGAGACATTTGCAGCGCACCAGAACATGGTCTATTCTGAAGCTAACATGTGACAATTTCGATGAGAAAAGATTGCATTTGATAGCCATTGTTTTTTTCAGATATATAAGGGTGATAAAGATGCATATATCTAGCAAGTAAAGGGGCAAAAACAGAAACAGGCTTACCAAAAGTCGCTGCGACGCACCTGATACCTCAGGTTTCGTGAGTTGTTGTTTCAAGAGGGCTTCTGCTTTACAAGAACATTAAAAAATAAATAACATTATTGGTTTGGTAAAAAAAGCGATGGGGCCTCTTACCGACCCTGGGCGTCTTACACGGATCTCCCCTACCCTAGGTTTGGCTCCTGCATGAGTTGGCCCCCCCCCCCCCAAAACGCAAGCCTGGATCCGCCAGTGGTAGTAGGTACAACAACTCTTTAGAAGTTCTTCCGGTAATGTGTCCTCAAATTTGACCTGAAAATGGAACGGTTTTGTACCCACAGGGTCGTTTAAACAAAAGACAGCAATAGACAGCAAAATAGACTTTTCTCCGGGGAAAAGTTCTTCATCAATAACTTTTGACACGAAATTTGTACGATATTTTATGCCGGAATCGTCTATCTCGCATTGAGACACATCAATTGAACAAAACAACAAAAAAAAAAAGAGATTGGGCCAACAAGGTCATGACCTGACTGAGAGTATTATGCCGTACAACCATGGGCGGCGCCACCGGGGGGGACGGGGGGGACAGGTCCCCCGCTATCGAAAGTTAGGGGGGTACAGTACCCCCCTATCGGCGAGGTCCGTTCAATAGTTGATAATAATGCATTGTAGAGTTATCCGTCGCATTTAATGCATCGTTGGTTAATCAAGACAGGTTCTGAATAAAGATTGCTGTTGGGATGTATCGCAGGGGGTCCTGGCCATCTGCAAAAGGTGTGGAGCTGTGATGCCTGTAGTCATAAGGTGATCGGCAGGGCCTCGGGGATCGTGCCCCCCCTTTTTGGGGCGCCAGACAGGGTTTATTACCTCCCCCACCCCACTGCCAGACCACATTGCCGACAAAACCAAGTTTACTGAAATTCCATAGATTTCCGTTACTATATGGATATTTTCCATTCCTAATTAGTCAAATTCAAGCATGGCAGCTCTACCACAGGAACCATTTGAAATATATGCCATTTAACCCAGCACTTGTGGGCAGAAGTGTTCGGATAGATCACAGGCAGGACCAAAAAAGCACGCCGTAGCCCAAGATCTTATAATTGGGTAGCATCGGCACCCTCTCGTCAAGGGGTTCGATAGCACTCGTTTTTTTTTCTGCAAAACTAAGTTCGGTCGGCGGCCGAACGGCTGGGGGTCTAATCAAGCCCCCTTCCCTCCCCTTCTTACGTCAGCGGCTGTGAAAATGCCATTACCAGCTGTTGAAACATGGCAGTTGCTTTTGCATGAGTGCACGAAAGGGTTTTAGGTACGTGATACGTGAAAGGTTCTACATGAAATTGAGATACACCAGCTTATCAAATTGTGCTCACTGTGGTGCGCTCGGTTTTACCTTGACTAGTCTTTGAATTCTGGGGTGAAACAGACCAGTCAAGAAACCTGTTCCATAAGGAGAGCCACTGATGCTAAAGAGATGAGGGATGAGGTTTCAAGAGACCTTCATTACCTCCCAAAGGGGTGCCACGCCATTTGCCAATCCCTGCTGTAGTTGTTACGATTGGAGGGTGAATATGAGAACGATGCAGGTCGTGACAGCTCGATCATGACGAACACAATGGTGCCGACATCACAGCTCTATGTACCGCAATTTTTGACGAAGTTAATCAACAAGGACCGGAATCCTACCCTGGGGCACTTCACCTGCAGAGGTCGCCGGACCTGAGACCCTTTCACTCAATTTTTTCAACGGTGCATGCGGCATGCGCTCGTTTTTCCCTTGAAGCTCTTGGTAAGTAAAATCCATCAGAAAGTGTGATCAAATAACGGCTGGTGACCTTCCATGACCTAGCATGACCTTTTGAGTGACCACCGATGACATGACCACTGACGGCTAGCCATTAGCTGCACCCTGCCCGTTGCATATGGATCAGGTGGTGATGTCATGATTCTGAAATTATATTGCAGTTTTGGCGCACTTGTCAGAGCAGAAAACATTCCCACTTTTCCTCCATGACTATATGATGATGAAGCCATGAAGCTGACCAGACGCAAGATCGAAAATTTGAAAGTACGAAACGTAAGTAGTTGGCACTGCTACTCATACCTAAGCAATTCGCAGCTTGTAGGAAACCAGCTTTGAGTTGGCAAGACTGCAAATTTTGATTTAGAGGCAAGGATGCTTGAAAAGGTGATCGATCTTATAGTTGTCCTATGATAAGTTTGGAAACGGGATGCACCATTCGATGTGTTTTGGGCTTTGCCAAGTTTCGCGGCGTTACGTGCCTCGTTTTTTTTTGCATACACGATCAGTATCTACTTTTGGGATTCTCAGTCAGGCAAGCCCCCGTCCCCGTCCCCCCCTATCGAAAACCCGTGGCGCCGCCCCTGCGTACAACGGTCAATCTGTACTTTTGAAGAGAACAAATCCTGTGTGTTTTTATCGCTATATAATGAGTGTATGTATGCTAGGTGAGTGTTCACTAAGCTATGTCCCGTGCCACAGCACCAATCGGAGCCGTCATCTGACGCCGCCGTCCGTTCTCTCCCCTGCACCTCCCGCTCTCGCAGGTTCGGCCGGCGGCGCGTCCTGCTCTACGGCACGGCATTGTTCCTCATCTTCGGCATCGCCGCCGCCTTCTCCACCGACATCTTCACCTTCATGGTACTGCGCTTCTTCGTGGCGCTGAACATGATGGCCCTCTTCACCACAGGCTTCGTCTACGGTACGTGCCGATCCCCGGTACAAGTCGGTACGATTCAGGCCAGGAGGGAGCTGCAACCGGGGCGTGTGTCAAGCGAAAGATGGCCTCCTCAATCCTCATGCATACTCTTTTTACACAAGACTAAGAGTAGCTCAGTCACCCGTAAAATCTAAAGGCTAGAAAATGGATAAATCATTTTCATCTGTGGTGACATCGGGAATGATACTTTCTTTATCGAAACGATATAACGTGCAGCACCCACCGTCGCGTCTATGCTCGCTTTGTCATCAATGAGTGGACGGTTTTGCTCTCTGGTTTTTATCATTTACATTTTGAATATACTTATTTGGGTACGTCAAGGCCATCATTTTATAAAATAGGATGAGCAAAAGTACGAATAGAGTAGACCCACCCTTGCCTCGCCGCTGACCCGCTCCGTCCCGTGCGGCAGCTCTGGAGTCGGTGGGCGGACCGTGGCGCGCCATTCTCGGCATCTCCTACGAGTACACATTCGCAATTGGCTTCATGTCCCTGGCCGGCATCGCCTACGTGCTGAAGCCGTGGATGCAGCTGCAGCTGTGCGTCGTCTTGCCGGCCGTCGTGTTCTTCTCCTTCTACTTGTGAGTGGGGGTGTGACTGCTGTGTGCGTCTGGTGTGTACGACTCTTCACTCGGTGTGAGAGGAGGTGGGATGTGTCAGCTCACAGCTGTGTGCGCCTGTTAACTACGCTCGGTAGGGGTGCCAACTGCTGTTACTCCGTCTGCGTAAGCCATCATCTGACAAAGGCGATCGGTTGGTAGAGTATAGGTAGGTGACTCGCGGGACGGAATGATGTAGGCTTTATAAGCCTTGTTCAAGGCTTTATATCCTTGTTCAAGGCTTTATATCCTTGTTCACCTGAATACTGAATGCTTTATTGATTGTGTTCCGCGATCAAGAACTTTATAGATTAACGTGACCGATTATATTTCGGTTGGCAGCTGCCGGTTGATTTACCCAATATGTAGGCTATGCTTCTTAGGTATTTCGTATCCATATTTAGGTAGTCACGTTTACTGTTTAGCAAATTCAATCATCGACCTGAGGGCCAGCAGTCCGACGGCACCCTTTCTTCATTTACGTTTCATAATATATTCCAATATATCCAATCTTTATTAAACTCATCTTGCTAATTCACGTCTCGATAATCACACTTAAACACGTTGAGAACTGCCCGTTGATATTTCCGCGTCACCGACCTCCATCCCAACCTCCACCAAAAAAGCGACACATTCAGTAAGTGGCCAAGACCGCCGAGCGCCAAAGATCCTTCAGTTTTTTACCTCGTCAGAAATCAGAATTGCGCTGCGAAGTTCAAGTTTGGCTTCGTTCTTCTAAACCACGATACGTTCTTTTTCCACGCAGCGTCATCCCAGAGTCCCCGCGGTGGCTTCTGACTCAGGGCAGAGAGGAGGAGGCCCGAGACATCATCGAGAAAATCTGCCGAAAGAACGGACGGCCCTACAAGTCCACTATGAAAGTGGTGGATGAGGTGAGTCCGACACTCGCCCTCGAAAACCAGATTGGCGAGCATTTGCCTGGCGGTGATATAACACTGCCGCCGCACTATGCATCGCTGCAGCCACTATTGATGAAAATTTCATCAGTTTTGTAATGACGAACAGTTTTACGATTCACGATTCAGCGAAGCTCGATTCGGCATTTCTTAATTTCTTAATCTGGCTGGATTCTGTGAAGCGGTCGTTGACCAAATTCCTTCTTTTACAGGGGGCGACCGAAGACGAGGACGAAAAGGTGACCATCCTTGACCTGTTCCGGACGCCCAACCTGTGCATACGCACGCTCAACTTCTACTACAACTGGTTCGTCAACAGCTTCGTCTACTACGGGTTGTCGCTCAACTCGGGTAACCTGGGCGGTGACCTGTTCGTCAACATCTTCATCGGCGGCGCGGTGGAGATCCCGGCCTACGCTCTCAGTACGTTGGCGCTGCTGAAAACGGGCCGCCGGCTGCCGCTCTGCATCAGCATGGTCATCGGCGGCGTGGCATGCCTCTGCACCATGATCTTCGAGAAAGGTGAGTCGGGCGGAAATTTTAATAGGCGGCCATCGGGGATGACTTGTGGCGGAGTTGGGCGACGTCAAGGAAGGGCTGCAGGGACAGAGGCGATTGGATATCATTGCTACTCCCTGTCCGTGACTTCCTAAGTGTCCAAGCGTACTCTTGTAAACCCAGTAATCTAAGTACAGCGAACACGCGGAAGGATGTAACTGTCGACCGTGTGTAGCCTGTCTCGTCGGCTTCACAACCCGTCCCTTTCCGCCCACAGACGTCTACACGTTGGACTGGCCGATCGTCACGTGCGCCATGATCGGCAAGTTCTGCATCTCTGCCTCGTTCGCCATCGTGTACGTCTACTCTGCCGAGGTGTTCCCCACCGTGCTGCGAACGACGGGTGTCGGCAGCTCGTCCATGTGCGCCCGCATCGGCAGCATCGTGGCGCCCTACGTGGGCACCTACGTGAGTACGCGGGGTTCAGAGGTGGTGGCGTCATCTGATATAGAAATGCATCATCATGGCGAACTAGTCGAAAAGAGTAGGTATATATGGAATGACAGAAGTGGATGCATATGAGTAACCGTGGTAGCCTTAATTTGAGATCGAGTACGTAGGGGAAAGAGGTTTCGTACAGAGGAATCGTTTGACCTTCATTCTTCTGTGTCCATAGTTCCATATTGCATATTTGCGGTCTCCGATTGACATTACATATTGAAGAGGCGTCAACCTGCCGATTTGTGAATAAAACCACCTCGCTGTTTCACGCCGCTGACCGTAGGCGGTACTGTGATGGCATCGATGGATAAATGGGTGATAATCCGTAGGCCGGTACTGATACTCCATTGTCTGATGGCATGTGGTTGAGTCTGAGTGGATAGATAACGGATACTTCGTACTCGCGATGACAGGGCGCCCAGGCGTACCGGTACCTGCCGGTGATCCTGTTCGGCATCACGTCCATCCTGGCCGGCCTGCTGGCCCTGCTGCTACCCGAGACCAAGGGCAAGGCGCTGCCGGACACCATCGAACAGGGAGAGGTCTTCGGAACGTGAGTTATGCAATATGCATAAGAGAACTCCAGAGATGATGCCCAAAACCTGGACATCATGACTTTGGTTTACTGTCCCTCGTAGGTAATCGACACTATTATTGAAGTCACTCGAGCTAAAATATCCAGGGATATAGCACGGTGACCTCAGACCTAGCGTAACGTGGCGTGAACTAACCAGTGTATCCGCTCCGCTGCAGGAAGCTGGAGGGCCAGGCGGCGGCAATGACCGAGAAACCGACTGGGGAGGAGAACCGGGCGTACGCTACCGACTCGATGGACACCAAGCTGTGAGCGGCGTGGGGGACGGCCTGTGCGGCAGGGGGAGGGAGAGGGGGAATAGAACGATAGTAGGGAGATAGAGAGAAAGAGAGTGAGGAGAGGAAAGGTGGGAGGAGAGGAAACGTCCAACCAGCAGTGGTGGTAGATGAGGGAGGTGGATCTGTTGATTTGTAACGTGTTCTTCATCTCCTATCGATTGTAAGAGGGCCGATTCATATTCGAGCTATTCAGTATGCGGGAGAGTGTGAAGCCCGTGGCCAAGCTCGTCCACGCGTCGTCTCATAGCCAGTTGTCCCCGAATAGCACGACTGTGGGAATATCGCCCTGCTGGGGTGCCGTCCAATGATCCGGTGTATCACGTGCTGTGTCGAGTGTGTTGAAACATGAAAACTGTGCTCTGTGTTATGTCCAACCGGATGCTCCAGCTCTGGGAGTATCGATGACATTCTGAACTAGAATTTGTCGTCGCTGTCACGGTTACCGGCCGTGTTTCAATCCGACACTTTAGTGCGGACAACCATTGGCTACAGGGCAAACGCTTTTCGTCCCCAGAAGCATCTTAATTTTTAGCTTTACAGTCTTAATTCCACATACATTTGTGACGATCATACATAAGTTCATCAGACATTTATGCATTAATATGCAGCGACTTTCACTACAGACAGGTATATACGTCGCTTCCGTGATCGGAAAGGAAGCGAGTCAGAAAGCGAAAAACGCTCGCCCTGTGGCCGGTACCAAGCGTTAAAAATACTCTCCACATTGGATGCATGGCTAATGGCTTGAATAGGTAAATGGCTCATTGTTATCGCAGCTAGCCAGACTATTTTGCTATTGTCCATATAATCAATAGACGAAACAAATAGAACCATGTATCATACCACGTAGAGTGTAGACAGCTTAGGGATCCATGCCTGAAAATATCCAGTTTAGACAAAGGGCACATCAATTTTTCCAAGCATCCATAGAGAAGCATAATCGTAGAGTAGGAAGAAGTTAGCGAGCGTGGAATGTGCGACGCACGTAACTGCTGGAAGCCTTGTTCTTCGACTGTTATACCGTGGTGTTCTACTACATTTGCAATTATTTGCAGCGCTGCCCTTCGTTAGAAGGAATTTTTCATGCGACTATCAGTTATCTTTTCACTGTACGGTTGAGTTCGATTCAGAAGGGGGTACTTTTTGTACAATCTGTCTGATGGCATGCAACTTCATCTGATGACAATGTAATGTGTGAATGTACTGCGCAATACATGTATGAGCTTCTGACGAATTTGAGAATATTACAGGACTTGCAGCCGCAATATTCCACCCATTGATTATTGTCTACCTCACGAATAGGGCTGAATTTCTGTCAATAACTGCTTTGTCGACATTCAACACTGATGAAGAACAAGACATGTATTTGCACAGTATTGCACTACCGTTCAGCATAACTGACTACGAGTCACAGGAGAATATGAGTCGTTTGAAAAAAACTGCCGTCTATTGTCTTTCTAGTGATGTCTCTAAACCTGGCTAACAACCTAAGGTGAGCATAACGTATGCATGAATCCTGTCAGAAAACCACTAAAGCTTGGGAACGACTGACACACAGTCCACATTCAAAAGCACCCTACATCTCGAACAGGCGCTTCATGATCTCACAACCGGCGCAAGCAGCTCGCAGAGCCCGCAGATCATTCAATGACATCCGGAGTTCTTCAACCAGCCTGCACACAACACCACATCACCATCCGCCGCACGATCGCTCAGCTCTGCACTAGGGACCACCCGACTCTGTGCCTCTGAGAAGTCTATGCTTCTGTCAGAGATCTATGCTCAGAAGTCTGTGACGCGTCCCTTGCGCTCCCAGTCTCCGTAGCGGGTGGGCTCGGGGCCGCGCGGGCCGCCAATCTCGCCGGTGCTCGGGTTCACACCGTCCGGGAACTCTGGCAGCGGCTCCTTCTCCTGGTACGGGTGGCGAGCGCCCTCTTCTGGCTCGTCCAGTCGACCTGTCCGCGAGGACGGAGGGGTGCTGTGGGCTGCGGCGGGAGACAACGGATTGCGGAGGGGGTGGCAAAGCTGACCCATGTATCTCACGGCTCATAAATCGGTACCAATAAAATAGGGCTTGGCAGAATGACAGAACTAGCACGATAAACTATAATTTAACAGCTAGCTGCTGAACACGGCATCCCAAACAAGCGCTAAACGATCTCCATGTGGTCTCCACTTTGTGGGCTAAGTAATGTAGGCTATTGCAATATCCGCTACAGATAAACCCTCAAACTACACGCAACTAAACGCAATGAGTTAGTGGGGAAGGGAGGTGCTACCGCCTACCTGAATCATACAAATTACGTGCATAACAAGTCTTGCTATATTTTCTTACCTATGGGCGTTTTCGCTTTCACCGGGTTATTGGTAGCACTTCGGCCACATGTCACTCCATCCTTGGGTGTTTCTTGCTTTGCTTGCGCCGAAACGCTAAGAGCACGGGCAGCTGGAACATGACATGTCAGAACTTATTGCGGTAACTGTAGCTAAGTGAGAGTTCAATAGACGAAGGAATATGAAGGGTACCAGGGAAGACATTGACATTAGAACTGACATTCCAAATTATGTTTATAGGTATGTTGTGACTTGAAGCAGCATGCACTATTATTTTGTAAAGGGTTACACGAACGTTTCTACTCCGGTCATTTAAAAAAGCGCATAATTAATCGCATTTGTGAGTGGTTAGGGAGTCAGCACCGAGGCAATTTCTTCACGACTTTTGATACTCTTTCGAACGATGCCTACCACGCGTCGCTCCGTGACCAAGTAGCCAAGTTAGAAGGGGGCGGGGAATGAGTCTTCATTGAACATTTGAGAAGTAATTTCGTGCCTACGAAACATGTTACGAAACTATCATTTACACCCACTACGGAGAGCCGGCAGGACGCCTACTGGTTGGCCTGACCTGACGCGACCTACCACAAATGCATGAAAACATCATCTTTGATCAAATCTTTTACGAATTTCGGAATCAGAGCCCCGAAAAAAAAAAAACGTAAAAGCCTAACCCCGCGTTCGATGTCTCTCGGACGGCGAAGATTCTACGCCGTCCGGCCAATCACGTTCCATAACTGCAGCCGAGCCCCCGCTGACCTTGAACGCTATTGGCCGGACGACGTAGAATCTTCGTCGTCCGAGAGACATCGAACGTGGGGAAAGTTTAAGATGTTCTAACAGGCCACGATCTGCCGACTATTAGGTCATTGACCTGACTTGGAAGGCAAATCAATGACCCAGGAATTTTTGGATACCATCGGCTTCCTCTCGTCACGGGCAACAGGTGCCTCGCTAAGCGGCGCTTGTTGGATCCGGGTTACTGACAAAAGAAGTACGCATCGACAATGTCCATATGGGAAATGTACGTCGTCAAATGTAGGTACGGCCCTCCAGGTATTAAGTGGTTGGTTGCCAACATCACAATAAGCGATCTGCATTGATGAATATTGAATACGTCTAATGGCTGTTGAATACCACTGCGCAAATGTGTGCGCGAACCCTCTTCTCATTTCTATAGAGTCATATTACAGGAGTGTCTCTGTCATTCAAAGTTATTACACCAAAAGCACCTAGGCTAACTAACCAATCTTTTGCTGGAGGGCCGTACGTAGGACAAAAGGGCGTATCGCAAATGTACGTAATGTATAAAGGCGTATGGGCAAAAGCGTAGGTCGGGTTGGATTAGGACGGGTTATGTTAGTTATGTCAGGTCAGATCAAGTTGGCCTTTTTGAGTTGGGCAAGTTGAGTTTTTTACCGATACGTACCTCTGTCATTACGTCCTTTATCGTCTACGTGCTTTTACGCGCGAACATTTGCGTCCGTACTTATGTCCCACATACCTTTGCTATGCGTACTTTTGTCGGCGAATCTAGCTGAATATAGGAACGGGATCCAACACTTGGAACTCCCCAGCCACGAACTCGTGGACAACGAGTTACGAGACGTATGTCTTATCCACTGACAACACATGACAAAACTCTTAAAGTTTATTGCCATATTGTCTTTGTGATAACTTAGGTACCTACTATGATGAAGCATTTGAAAATAAATCACCATCACTACCCTTACCTGTCAAACGAATCTCATTTTGAAGCTGCAAGCATTGGTGACTTAATGCTGTTCTCAGCAGTTGAGCAGCCATCTCTGGAACACAGAATACAACTTGTTAACTATTGAAGTTAAGTTGATAAGGACCAGACTGCAAAGCATGACAACTTCAGGCACTTAGCTGGTGCAAATTGAAGTTTTATTTCATTATCTACCATGATAGAGGTAGGTACCTAGTGAAAATACAAGTCCTACCACTGCATGCTACGGCCAGGTCCGGCTGCATCGCAGCTGCTCTATCCCAGCCAGCAATTTGGTTTGGCTCAAGTCCGTTTTGCCCTGACAACTCCGACATGCCAGAGTTGGGCCGGTGTAAAGGAACGCCATCAGAGCCGGGGTTTGGGTTGATATGGCCCTATTCCGGTTGGCCAGCCTTTGCCGTAGCGCTCCCGAGTTGGTATGCTTTCGGACCGCCAAGTCTGGCCCAATCCGGCTCCATGCCACGGCTGAAGTCCGGCTCCCTACGGCCAGGCCCGGCTGCATCGTAGCTGCTCTGACTTACTGTGGTTGAAGTACGATTGCAACGGCACGGCTGTTACGACTTCCGTTGAGGAGCGGCTGTGGAGCGGGCGAGCTCTGGGATCGTGTGTCAGTTCCAGCCCAGACATCGCTCGTACTTTGGCCGGAGCAAATGCCGGAGCTGGCTAGAGTAAAACCAGCTACGACCCAGACCAAATTTGCTGGCTGGGATGGCTTACTATGGCTGAAGTACGGTTGAGGTACGGCACGGCTGATGCGGCTTAAGTCCGGCAATAGTGCGGACGAGCTCTGGGGATCGTGTGTCAGCTGCAGCCCCGTATCTGGCCCTACTCTGGCTAGCTCCGGCACTTTGCTCTGGCCGAAATACGGACAAGGTCTGGAGCTCTACTAGAGCTGACACGATTGAAGCTCGCCCGCGCCACGGCCGGACTTAAGCCATATCAGCTGTACCGTACCTACCTCAACCGTACTTCAGCCACAGTACATATGCAAGAACAGCTACAAGGCAGCCGGATTTCCCGGATCCGGCCGTAGCACGCCGTGGCAGGGAGCCAGACTTGAGCCGGACTTAGCGGTCCCAGACGAGTGCTACGGCAAAGACTGGCTAACCGGAATAGAGCCATATCGACCAAAGCCCCTGTTGCGATGGCATTCCGTTTACACCGGCCCATATCTGACAGGTCGGAGTTGCCTAGGTCAAGGTATAGTTCCGATACGTTATATGGGCACCTAAGCAGGTACCTACTCATAATTACAGTTCACTTGTAAGCTGGGCTCAGTCGGTGGATTTTAGGGCGACTCCGACTCCGACTCCGACTCAGACTCCTGCTTCCAAAATCGACTCTGACTCCAACTCCGGACGGATCTGATCTAGCTATCAAAATCCATATGATATTGAAGTTCATAATGAAGATGTATTTATCTTGCCTGAAACGATCCCTTGTGCGTTCCAAATTCCAATGCTTTGCGTTGCAAATATGCAATAGAATTCACCGTCTGTTCGCTAAAATCTTCCTCGGGAACAGCAAAATTGCCTTTTTTCGTCAAAATCTAATTATGAGCGCAGTACCTATCATCAATCAAACTGCCACAGTGCATAACTTAGAGCCATGCAGCGTTAACTCCGACTCCACAGTCAGGGTCGGTAAGATTTTGATGACTTCGACTCTGACTCCGGGCAGAACTATCAACTCCAACTGACTCCAACTCTGACTGCGACTACGCAGCCCTGCTTGAAATATAATCCTTAATTTGCACCACATTCCACAAACGTTTCCAAAATCAAGAAAAGAAAATGCCAACACATGTAACAGATGATAATTAGCCCTCTCTGATTTAGGTAGCATTAACATGTTACGAAATAATACAGATATAAGTTAAGAGAACGTGCGAATGAAATGAGTAAAAATGAATTAATTTGAAATAGAAATACCACTGACGTAGACAGATAATATCAATGGAAAATTCACAGAAGTCATACCAAGATCGGAGCCTCTTCAAAGTTAAGACAAGACAAGATACTTTTATTAAAAAAAAACTATGTTCAAACGCCTTGAATTCAGCTTTGTGATCGTCCTATCTCAATCTGCATTTTCCTTATGTAATCATTTTTGTTTACATTTTGTTGAATGTCATAGCTGCGCCATATCTGCTTAGAAAGCTACTGCAATATTGCTACCATATTTCTCTGCTTTCTGCAAATTTTGAATCGTGTTTTTATGCTATTTCCTCAGTAAACTTTTTCTCTTTTTCTATGATTCACTTCATTTCACCACAATGAATTATTCTTAAAAATTATTTTTATGGTTTAACTCGGAAAAGTATCAAAAAAGTTTATAAACAATATTTTGGGTTTCAGCACATGGCAACGTCCTTTAACAATCTCGGCTTCCTGCGTAAACAGGAGGCTGAAGCTTGGTGAGTTTTATTCGATTATATCGAAGAAACGGTATGTGATATTCATATGATTAAATGAAAGAAAGTTTTTCATGTCGATTTACACGGACACACTCTGGCGATCAACCTTTGATTTCGATTTATTTGGATAACACGCCAGATGACACATTAATGGCGCGTCTGTGTCAAACGATTCCGTGGATTTTCTCCTTGTTTTGAGTAGAGTATAGATAGCATTTAGGCTTTTAATAAGACATTTTTAACACTCCAAGGTTCTGGGTCATTTAATATGTGGACACGTTTTCGTAGTTATGACGTTTTCAACTTGTTTTAGAATTTAAAAACAACCTTTATCCCAGCAGCTAATCGTTTTATTTAGCTAGCTTTACTTTTATAATGCTACATTCAATAGCTAAATTACTAGGAATTTGATAAACATAATAAAATGTCTATCTGCCATGTTTATGTTCAACAAAAACAAAGCAGCCATTAGTGTAAGCACTTAACCTAGGTACCCTTAGCAATGTAACTTCTACCACAAAATGTATTTTGCAGTGGCTAAGAATTGACTGAACTTGGACAGAGGGCTGTTCACGGGCCCTGTGTGCGGTCGGACCGCACACAGCCTCCAAGCTCCGCCCACTGCGTCCCTACGTCAGCCTTCCGTCACCGCACACAGCGACCGCTGTGGCCGGTCGGGACTGGCCACAGCGAACCGTCCACCGCACGCAGCCGTGACGTCAGAGCCGCCTACCCATCCCCTACCCCCACGCCTGCTGGACGCACCGCACACAGCGCACGCAGCAGTGTGCGGTGCCCGTGAACACCCCTCTGAAATGCCATTTCCCATTATTTTCCATCAGAATTTACCAAATATTTTAATGTTAGGGTAGAGTAATAGCAAATAGAATTTCAGTCAAATTTTGGCTTGGGATGTTATCGGTCGGTATTCGGTTGGAAATTTTTCCCAAATTTTGGTTTCGGTCAGACATTTTTTGGAAAATGACACCACTAGAAGCACCTGGGAGTGGTTGCTGCTTCAAAGTGGATAGAGGGATATTTGTCTTTCAATGCTAGATGTTGTGCATTTATTTAAATAGAAGGGTATTCCAAACCTCTATTTTTGAGCTGCTGCTTAGCTGCAAAACTGGGATGCTATTGAAAATTATGCTGTATATGTGCAATAGCTGGTGCTCTGAACCAAAGTTTGGAGGTAGGATTTATGCCTGATTGCCAAAATTCATGCTGCTCTTTGTAACAGACAATTTCCATGATTTTATGCACAGATCCCCAGTTTTTCTTTTGAAGCTGCACACAATTATTTTCTTGCACTTATATTTTATAATGGAAGGGCGTTGATATTTTTATCTTGGCAGAAAGGCTAAAGGATGACAAGAAGTGTTATCCTGCAGGATCAGTGTTACATGTTTGCATTTATATTTACAAGAGCAGGTTACAAGCTTCATTGATTTCCCCAGCTATTCATGCGTAGAAGTTCTGCCATTGATCATGTTTTTTCCTATTTCAGACATAATGGCCAAGAAGACCAAGGCAGAAAAGGTTGGGAGCCGTAAGAAGCCCAAGGCCCAGGTGGCTCCATACAGCATTGCTGTTGGTCTGAAGAAGGGATTCCCAGTGACCAAGAAGACACTGAAGCCCAGGCCTGCTTCCACCAAGGGTGTAAGTATCAACGTCCACATCCCATTGTACTTGGCTCTGCACTAGGATGTGTCATCCTGTAATGAGTTTGTGCTTAGTTAATGAGTTTGTACTTAGTTTGCTTGTAGCTCTTGATGCTATTGCTTATTTTTTCACAAAGCTATACTTACCTGTGATATATTGAGTATTACCAGTAGACACCTTTTGGGGTGCAACAAATGAGTGAGACGGTGACTAGTGAGTCCTGGGCCCCTGGCTGCACGTGAGCAGCTAGTGGGACTGGAAGGGGGTGCGTCCAACTGACTTGTGCATGGCACCCTACTAACTGATCTATAGAAGTGCACCAAATTTGAGTGCAATTGGCCCTGTTGTTCTCGAGATCTTGGAGGGTCACCGTGCTCGTGTGTATATGTAAACTTGGTTGTATCTGACATTTGCATGGCACCCTACTTTCCAGTCCCTGCATAACTATATACCAAATTTGAGCACCATTGATCAAAACCATCCCTGTCACTTTCATATAGCAAGCACTTGAGCGACTCAAACTCAAGATCTGACCATCAGAGTCCAACAATCTGTAAACTGTGCTACAGGATGTTACACTAATTTGACCATTCACATTCACAATCACAAGGTCAAAAACAATTGTGTGCCTGGTTTAGGACTTTGTGGCTAATTTTGCTGCTTGACAATGCAAAGATATTACTAGATAAGAATGTAATGGAAATGTAAGGCAAGATTAGAGTAAAAACATATGGCCAAAAAATCATCAAAAAGTCAACTTAGTTGACTGAAAATGTTAATGACAGAAAAGATCAACAGGCAGTCTTTTAAAGCCATCTGAAAATGTATGCAAAAGGTAGAATGAGGTTCTCGTACATTATTCCACTCTATCATTGACTATGACGCAGGACGGTCATAATCAATGACCGTCAAATCAATGTAGCATTGGTCAAATCAATGCTACAGGGTAGTGCTGGACAATTTTTGGTGGGATGCATAATGATTTCAATTTTCAGCAGGATTCAGTGCGAGCATACACTTCTAAAATTCCCTTGCCAGTGGCTGAGTCTGAGTGAATACTGTGCAGGGTGGCAGGAGCAGGGAACCCCTAATAGGTAACTGGTCTACTCACTGGATACCATCCCCGTTGGCCGACCTGACGACATCAAGGCTACAAGTTGACAGAGTCTGACCTTGTCCGAGCCCACAATTATAGCAGAGGTAGGGGAGAGTGGGGTAATTTGGCCGCTTTTTTTTTAGAAAACGATATAACTTAAAATTGACGACACATTTCTGCATTTTCTCAACGCTGGCAGGTGTCGTATTCATTTTACTTTACTGGACAGCGAACTTGAAATGATAGAGTAATTACTTATATTGAAATTGTGACGTATTACAAAGGTCTGCAAGGCGGCCAAATTGCCCCACTAGCAGGGTTATTTGGCCGGGGGTGTGGGGCAATTTGGCCGGTGTTAGTTTGCGGTCGGGATTTTCTGTTTGTTATATTGCGAGTCAGCTTCAGATCCAGCAATGACGTGTGTCCTATGACTCATTTGCCGCATTTTGGAAGTTGACTCAGGGGTCACAGGGGTCAAAATAGCCAAATTAGCGGCTCTAGATGCGAAGACAGTTTTTTACGAATAACTTTTGAAGTAATCAAGCTAGGCCAAAACTTCGAGCACCATCGTAATTCTCTCGTCAGTCCGCATCGAAAGATATATGTGTTGACCTTGAGAAGTCAAGGTCAAAGGTTGACCTCAGGTCACGTTGCATATGGTCGCTTGACCTCAAGGTCACTTGATTTCAAGGTCATCATGCATATCATTCGATGCGCCTTGGCGAGCTGAACAGAATGAGACCATTTGTGCGGCTGTACCATTTTTATGTAAGGATTTATGAGCAAAAAACGTTTGGTAACCTTTGATGACGTCACATGCTCTTACAGTTGACCAATCGGAAGTAAGGCGTCAAAGTTGGTCATGAATCATGTCATTTATGGTACAATTGACCATGAAAACTCGGCCGTCCCAGCATATAGACCATGAGCGCACCGGCCAAGTTGCCCCGCTAGTCCCGGCCAAATTACCCCATATTGTCATTCTGAAAATTTTTGTCTATAAAGTCATCACGGCTATACGGAATTAGATAAAATTGCTCTTGGAACCGCTGAACGCCCCCAAGAATGGCGCTATAATGTCTGAATTCGTTTTTAGCCCAAATACTACATGTTATACAACTTTGTAAACAGAAGTAAAAGTTACCATTTTCTAATGAAATTAACGTTTTATTAATTTTGAATAAAACTACGAGGGGCAAAGTTTTGACATTTGTCCTCCAGTTATTTCTACCCATGACAAATGAATAGAGATTAGAGCTATTTCACTCACTTTTATTAGACAGCGTACAGGTGGGGGCGGCCAAATTACCCCACTCTCCCCTACTCCACGCACCACTCCATGGCAAATGCATCAGCTTGATCCGTTTTGTGATTTATCGGTCCAGCAGTTTCCCTCGCAGTCATGTCTGCTGCATAGCATTGCTCTCCCCTAACAAGTGGATTTGTTTCTCTGCAGGTGAACACCAAGCACAACAAGTTCGTGCGCGACCTGGTGCGCGAGGTGGTCGGCTTCGCGCCCTACGAAAAGCGCGCCATGGAGCTGCTCAGGATCTCGCGCGATAAGCGCGCGCTCAAGTTCCTCAAGAAGAAGCTGGGCGGCCACGTGCGCGGCAAGAGGAAGCGCGAGGAGCTCGGTCAGGTGCTGGTGCAGCAGCGTAAGGCGGCGGCTGCCCACGGCGTCGAACACTGATTCATTGTCCAATACATCCCGCGCCGCGCGAAACGCCCTGTGTGTGACGGTGAGGAGTGGGGGAGGGTGCAGGGGAGAGTGGTGCTGCAGCTCGCTCACGGGTCAGCTGCAGCCGTAGTTACCCTGCCTCCACACGGACGTGTTGGGATCTAGGCGGTTCCAGGGCCCTGTTTCACCGGTGATAACAGCATGCTGCTATTCCGTTTCGCGAGCTGACGTCACACTTCTGGTAGTGTTGGAGGAATAGGCTTGTTGACGTCTCCATGGAAACCCAATTTGACACTGTAATAGCAGCGTGCTGTTATCATTGGTGAAACACCACGAGATATTCGGGATCCCTTGGCGGCGACACGGGTGGTGAAGTCACGGTGACGCGGGGGAGTACTATCTGGATTTCTGGAACTGCAGGAATACCGCCGGCAGAGCTGATTCGCGACACTCGTACAGAAGATAACTATCAGGACAGGATCACATGATAGATGCAATGTTCGGATTGTGATGTGATGTATAACTGGCGAACATATGCCAAATTTTGCACAAAATTGATGGGAGGAATCGTTACCATTTATATTTTAGGAGCAATCCCGCTTCTAAAATTGTCAACTCGCTACATGCGTGGATGCGAATATCCCGAGGGCGGAATCGATCAAGTTCTTTTTGCGAAGTGTCTGAACGTTAGTGAGACAGACCCCGCGTTCGATGTCTCTCGGACGGCGAATATTCTACGTCGTCCGGCCAGTCCCGTTCAAAGTCAGCGGGGGCTCGGCTGCGGTTATGGAGCGTGATTGGCCGAACGACGTAGAATCTTCGCCGTCCGAGAGACATCGAACGCGGGGTTACAGATACGTGGCCCCATTTCCCCGGGGCGTTTATCTCATCTTTGCCTACCAAGGGATGGAATTATGGGCGTCTGGTCGGTCAAGGGCTTACTGATAATAACGTAATTGTATTTATAGCAAAACTAACGGCAGAGTGCAGCTCTTCATGGTTGGCCATGCCAAGCGCCACTATTTTACAGTTACATATTATGAAAAACACTCAACAGCGCAGCTCCTCTGCATCCACCACAGGCAAAGTTACATGTAGGTAGTCGGTACACAAAAATACTTCTCGTTTGCCGCGGATCTCTTACTGAGCAAACCTTACAGTGGAATGACAGTCGTTACTTCTTGGTCCCATCTTACCCAGCGCAACCTAACCACGAAACAAGCATCGCTTTTCGCTGAATCCATGCATTCAGACGGTTCACCTACTATTCTACAGTTCATGGCGCATGATAAACACTACAAGAACAATAAGCCACAGTGTCCAAAGGCACAAACAGTCGCTGGGTGGCACTGAGCTGGTGAAGACACCTCTGGAAGACTACTCATCGGAATCGTCGTCGTAGAGGAAGGCGCGCACGGCCTCGTCCCGGCGACGGTCGGCGTCCTCTTTGTACGCCTTATTGTACAGCTCTACCAGCTCCACCTGGAAGGGGGACAAGACAGTAAATATCACCTGCTACAAAACACATCAGCTCCACCTGGGAGGGCTTAAATACGGCATGTCCACCAGCTGGCAGCCTTATCATACGACACGAGATCTAGTAACATCAGTTCCAACTTCCTGAACGTGAACACTTACCACTTCCACCCGACAGGTTGGGATCATAAGTCAGTCCCCCGATGTAAAGTGAAAATGCGACAGCTACTGAAAACCCAGGCTCTGTATAGCGAGTAAAAATGCGAACAAAACATTTCATCGAGGCGCCTGCTCCCGCCCAACTGCCACTGGTAAGTGACGGTGAACTGACAGTCGCATAACCAGGATCCAACAAACCCTCCCCTCGAAACACCCCCAGCCCTCGTATCGCGCCCCTCACCTTCACTGGGTTCAGCAGCAGCTCGACAGCCGTGCGGTTCTTCTTCACAGCCCTCAGCAGCTTGGGGGCGCCGTACCGGCCCGTCTCCTTGAGCGCCATCAGATCAATAACACACTGATCCAGGTCCCAGGTGAACTTTCCGACGTCGCCGTAGCAGTGAAGCGGCCGGCTGCGGGCTGCTTCCACCAGGTCTTCGGCGGTCTCCAACATGTCGGCGCGGTTGTCTGCGGCGACGGTGCGGCTCCGGCCAGCCACGCGTACCGTCAGAGGACACCGAAGGGCCGTGGAGCGGCGCTGGCCGGCCGACCGGCGACCCCCGCGGCGCCCCGGAGGAGATTCGGCGCTCAGAGCTGGGTGGTTGGTGGAGCGACGGGACTTGGCTGCCTGGCGGTGGAAAGGTGAGCTGGTGAGGGTATGTGCGAGAAACTCTAGCACAGAAACGTACGAGTGCGAGTCGTATAGTGCGAGTTAAAAGTAGCTGGTGATTTAAATTAATATTAAAACGAAATATGAGTGACGGGCTGTAAGAGCACTAACTTGCGAGACACCCGCGCATTTCAGACTACATAAGGTCGATTATTGAGCAGTACGTTTACAGTAAAAAATACCATACTGACCGTCGTATCTTTGGACTTGCGTGTCGACTTCTTGGCCTTATCGGGTGCTGCTGCCGCGGTGGACGGCCTCCCTCTGGACGCCTTTGAGGCGTTGGCCCCGGCAGCCCTAGACGCCGCTGTCCCGTTCGCGCCCCCCGTCGCCGAGGTCAGGCTGTTGGCCACTCGGGAGTTGCTCCTCCGTCTGCGGCTGCCCCCCGACTCGGGCTCATCGGGCGGGTGGAACGACGGGTCGTCCACAGAGTCGTTAAAGGTCTGCTCCAGCTCCGCATCCTCCGACTCCGCGGCGGACTCTCCGGACTCCTGATCCCGCTCCTCCTCCTCGTTCTCCTTATCGGACTCCTCGTCTCGGTCGATGCGGCTGCGGGAGCGGGAGGCGGCGCCGCGACCCCGGCCCCGACTGGCCGCCCGGCCGCCCCGGACCGCCGGTGTAGAGCCCGCCCTTGATCCGCCGAGGTCGCGGCGACCAGAGGAGCCGTGTGCTGAGGAGCGATTGCCGCTCAGCACCTGCTTGGCCGATATCTTGGTGTTCTGGGCGGTTGACGGTGTCTCTGAAAAAGGAAATGCGTTTTAAATGGGCCGCTGTCGTGCCACGTCACGTCAAGTATAGCCACGAGTGGCTTTTGCTATAGCACACGAAGGATACAAGCGATTATATCTTACGAAAGATCGGTAAGCGAGTTCAATTTAATGTTATTTATGCGTAAGATGCATGCTTCTTCATTTCAATTACTTATCTGAAATAGGTGCCCAAATAGCAAAGAATCCTTTAAATAGCAAAATATATATAAAGCTGCCCTACATAATTTGTTCAAAATAGCACAGCTGCAACGTTACACCTATCAGATAACAAATTCGTTATCAATCTTAACTACGAAGGCGTGACTGTCCGAAGTGCGACTCGCTGCAGCCTGCCTCCTACGCCTCTCACCATTGTTGGAGGCAGAGGAGGAGGCTGACTTGGTCGCCGAGCGCCGCGTCTTCGGCGTTTCCCAGCTGTTCGCCGTGGGTTCGCCACTGGCCTGGGGTGTGTCGCCGCTGTAGATAGGGATCGACAGTCAGTGGGAGCTACTGGGGTAGAACCGCGAATCATAGACAGAGGCTTCAGCAGCTAGTGGGCGGAATACGAGGGGAAGACGGACAACAGGTCTGTGTGCGATAAGGCAGTGGAATGCGTCATAACCAACAATATAAGCTAATCTGGCAGGGTAGAGTACACTACCATTGACTCAAATGAATCCAATAACGATGTCAACTTGATAGGCAGGCGGCATACAAACAAGAGTATCTGAGAATAAACTACTGAATCACTGATTGTGGAAATCACAGCAAACCCGCTATCGACTGCATAAGTGCATAAGCCAGTCGTTGGCTACTCAGGTGAGAGCCTGGACTTTTTCACGGATAGACACTCAAACCTACAAACTCGTTGATCCTTGAACGCCATCTATCCCCAAATGCACCAACCCCAACAGTTCACCACAGGATCACTCACCCCTCCTGCTGCTGCTCCTGCTCCGGCGGCGGTGGTGTCGGCGTCGGTGTCGGTGTCAGAGTCGGCGGCAGATCGACGGCCGCCGGTCGGTCGCTGCGCCGCTTCTGCGGGGTGCGCGGCTTGACGAACTGGGACACACTGGAGCGGGGAGCCTGCACGGCCGGACTCTCCAGGCGCGTGCTGGTGACAACACCGCCCGGAGAGAAACTCGGCACGGACGACAGGCGGCTCTGCACGCTGGAGCGCCGACCCACGCTCGACGGCGGCTGCTGACGGTGAAAGAATAGGGGACGAGCGAGTGAAAGAAAGTCATAGAGAAAGGGAGGGGTGAGGGACTTTCAAATGTGTTAGAGATCTTCAAGGAACATTAACTTGACGCTCATCGCACAAGCTAGCGACAGTACTGCAGTTCGTCACAGAAAGCATCGAGCCGAAGCCATATATGGTGATACAATTTGCGATCTGGCGAACAGCTGCAACAACTCACTCACATGTCTCAAATGTGTTCCGAAGTTCCAACATTCTCCCAAGCTGCCGCCCCCCCCCCCTCCCCCCAACCTTTACAATAATCGCCAGAAGCAGCAGCAACATTGACAGGTCGTCCTCATCCGGCACCGCGCAGAACCAGTGTTCCGTTTTTCAGATTTTTGGGTGGAAAATCACACCCAATGGAGATTATATTTTCATCCAAAAAATCAGATAAAGTGACACTATGTCATCTTTGGAAAATGTTTCATGCATTCAAACAGCCAGGTTACATGTCACTTGGCAGTCGATGTATCCACATACTTTTCTTTTAGATCCTGTCAAAACCCTGACATGAAATCCTGCTTCATCAAACGGCATAAAAGGGCGTTACACCCTTCTGCGAGAATACCTACTACTGGTATTTACTTCTTTTTTTTTCTCATCCTAGGAATTTTCTTTCTTCATCGCCACACCCAACCAAAATCCAATTTTAGAACACTGCGCGGAACTGACCGCCGGAGTCGGGTGCAGAGTGCGGTCGGTCACTGGGTCTAACTCGACAATGCGCGGTCGGAACCCAGCCTCACTGCGCCGGGTCTGCCGCTGCGCGCGCACCGGTAACGGAGTCGGCGTCAGCGGGTACTCGTGGAGCACAGCACCGCCGGGCTCTGGGGGCAGAGGGTTGGCGTCAGACGGGCACACCGCTGCACGCTGTCAGCGGGAGTAAAATCAATGTCAGACTCCAGTGCTAATGTAAAAAGAGGATGATGAACAACATAACACAAGTTTTTTGAAAACTAACTCACTGGTCATTTTCCATTTGCAACTCAGTTTGGAATACAACATTCACAGCGATCATGAAATGAGTTCAGTGCGCATGAAGCTCACCTTTTTGCACCACCTGTTTGGAGTCTCCTGCTCCTGTTTGGGGGGCGGCTGCCTTGTACCGCACTACTGCACCACGGCCCCGTCCGCGACCCCGGGCCGCCGAGCGTGGCTTCGGCTTGGATCGCATGTCTTCCCAATGTCAGATCTCAGAGGTGTGTTATAAGGTGGTATTACAATATCTGTAATAACCAACCCAGCTGCAGTGTCAATGCATATACACATTTAATTTGGTACTAAGTGAGGCACTTTCATGTCATAGGCATAAACATAGATATAGCCATTTATTAAGGCGATCCACAGTGCTTGTGGCTATTACCACCTTTCGTCAAAGATACAAAGTCATAAAAAGTTTGGGGTGGAAATACACGCAAAGTGATGTGGCGAGGGAACGCGGTTACAGGTAGCTCAGTCAGTGTCGAATGTCGATGGTAGTGAGTTGAAGAAAGCAGGACCGCGACAACAGAAGCACCTATTCCCCATTTCGGTACGTGACCGGGGCACATAGAGGTCGCGGTCCTCACGAGCCGTCCTGGCCCGTGTCCCCATGGCTTCGCGCCTATCTGCCACCGGCTAAAGCTTGGGGCTCGTCGTGATTGCACACCTTGTGTACGAGACAGAGTGTGATAAGATGCAAGTTTCTCCGCGCTGTGCCACCCCAGCTCCTCACGCATGTGGGATACATGTTCACGCTTCTTGCGGCCAAACATCATTTTTACCCCATAATAAATAACTTTCTGAATTTTGGCAAGGTTCTTCTTTGAGCCGTTGCCATACACCGTCATGCAGTACCGGACCTGCGAGAGGACCAGAGCGTGACCAGCACGGAGAGAACGGACGATGGCAGGTGGCTCCAGAAGTGACACACCACTGAGTATGCTGAAAAAGCATTGTATGACTGATGCAGCATGAGTGTCCCAGCTCAGTGTGCCTTGTCCTGATAGATCCATACTGCTAACCCCTCAGAGCAGTTAAAGCTAAAAGAAACATTGAAAATTGCCTACTGCTTAGTGCGACTAAGTGCTTTGGTTTGAAAGTCCATTGGAAGAAACAATCATTGATCTTCAAAAACTATTTGTTTGGTTAATGTTGCCAAACAGATCAGAGAATGATATGTTAATGAGCTAAAATAATCATTTACATGGATCTCTCAACTTATCAATAGCAAAACAGGTCGAAATAAATTAGAAACGGAGACGGGCCGAAATTCTATGACCATCCTTGGTCAAATCACTCTTTTGCACCCCAGACTATATTGAATGAAAGCCACATCACAATGTCAGAAACAATAGATCGAGCTAGAAAATTGTGGATACAATCACTTACCCCTGAAAATGTACATAAACTACAAGCAAAAGTGGCAAAAACAACACCGAAACGCAGGTACCAAACCCATCCTTCGATTCTCTGGCGCGGCGCCTGTGACGCGGTAGTGTTTAAGTGTTTAAAAGGCTAAGGATTGCAACCATTGGATAGAGCCGACTACACAAGAAGAAGATAGAGGATTTATAATCACATCTAGCTTTCCCCCCTGTCTCATGTCATGTCTGCAGTCTTCACAATAAGCAGATTGATTTTAAATTTTGGTGGGTAATACGATCAGGAAAAGCTCGTCCCATTTACTTTACCACACAGCATCAGGTATCTGCAAATTAATAGAAGTTAGATACTGACAAATGACAAAAAAAAATCACGAATTAACGGTAAATTTTAGCTACATTTACATTGATACCGAACGATCCTACCCCACCAAAGGCCCAAAAACATCAACATCAACATCAACGCAAACGCGCGCGGACGATTATTTCACTTTCGTATCAGCTGCGCAATAAATGTATGTCTTTTTTGAAGCCACCATTTGGTAGCTTTTTTCCTCTATAGGTTTCCATTTCCATGTAAGTTATTCTTTTACTGAATTATCTACAGATGTTCATGATGAAGTTGAGCTCAGTGTAGAGGGGTCGTTAGCTGAAATGTTAAAATTCAAAACCCTCAATCAAAGCAATATCACATACGTAGAATAAAACCACAATGGCCTTTGGGCCATCTCTGGGCTCCGTTTGCACTTGCAGTTCATTCGCTACAGTATGATTCGCTTTTCCGAGCCCAGTTTCGACCTTTACACCACCTTTGAGTGACGGCATCGCATAGCAATAAAACTTTTATCATGCAAGTATTTGCCGAAAATACGCTCATACCATTGAAATGTAACTCTGGTATGCGTTCATTCCTTCAACAGCTAAGCGATGCACACGCTTCAGGGAGGACAAATGGTATAAAATGCGTCGAACAGAAACAGCTATTTATTACAAGCACTGTCGCACCAGAGAAGTGGACTAAAATAGATGGGACCGTTTGTCACAACTCACCAGATCGGCGCAGTATCTCACACTCCACATTTCACGACGAAAAGAAGACAAAACTTTTAATGATTGACGACTTACGATCAATCGCTCAAGTCCCAACGTGGTCGTGTTAGGGCACAGATTCTGGTGCTAAGGGGACCCGGACCGGACACACCCGACTCAGGCCCCCAAGTTCCAGCAGCTACTTCACATACGGCGTCCGGATGGCCAGCGGGCCTGTTCTACAGCCAGGGCGCCACAGGAAGCTCTGCTCCGAGCCCCAAGTCAGAGCCCCAGGTCAGAGCCCCAGGCCCAGAGGTCACTGAAAACATACTACACACTATAAGTCCATGAGGAGCTCTTCATAGCTTTACCACCGCACCACTTAACTCCCTATCAGTCCCTCTCTCCTCCAGGCGCCGCCTCTCCCAGTTCCTCATACACTGTCCTCCGCCGCCCACTACGCGGGCTCACTCCTCGCTGAGCGGATCATTGGCCGGGTAGAGTCCGCCGGCCTCCGTGACGCGCACCAGCTCGCGCTGCGCCTCCAGCGGCAGGTGGGTCCGCACCAGTCGCCGCACGTCGGCCACGGTCGGCGCCACGCCGGAGCGTCGCAGCAGCTCCAGGACGTCAGCGGTGGTAACGCGACGGCGTCCGTCCAGCACCTGGGTCAGCTGCGCCAGCACCAGCTGCTCGTACTGCTCCAGCGCAGACACGAACTGGGAGAGAGGAGGGGCGTGTCAGCTGGTCCATCGGGGGGCACGGCATGGGCGGGACACTGAGACACGAACTAAGGGACACATGACAGGGTGAGCTGGTACATCTGGGAACGAGGAACACCGCAAGGAGGGATACTGAGACACGAACTGGGGGCCAGAGGAGCATGCGAGGTGTCAGGGAAAAAGGAACACGGTATGAACTATGGCGTGACACGGGGACGCAGCATGGCGGGATACTGAGCCACTGAACGACAGAATCTTGAGACATCGAGCGGCAGGTTATAACGCACCACAAGACGAAACACTGAGAAACCAAACAGCAGGGCAAGGAGACACGGTACGACGGCACAAGGAGATACACTATTTGAAAGTTCAGAACAGCACAACGGCAACGGCCACGAACACTAAAAGGAAGGACACGGAGAAACAACACGGATAAACGACACGGATACAGCATGACATACATTGATACGAAGCAAGGAACATGGGCTAGGCACTGAGAGAAAAAAAAGACGACAAGGCGTGACACTGAAATATGACACCGTAAGAGACAGACAGCATGGCGGACACAGGCAGCTCAGCACGGCGAACACGGAGATGGCATAGAAAAAAAGCAGGACGCAGAAGAATACGACACAATGTCTGTGATGGGACAGAAGAGGAACTTAGGAAGCGTACCAAACGGTCAAATTTAGGCGTAAACTGAATACTTTTAGGGAGGACACGGCTGTGCCAGGTGCCTGTTCGTTTTATTTTCGATGGAGCTTATCATTTAATTTACGGAAAATAAGTGGAATTCTGGCACCCGTTTCGGCATCAAACTGATCATGTCGAACTTCAAGTTGGTAAATAACACGTTGCGATTATGGCAAAGTTAGCTGCCGCTCATCCTATATCAAACGAAAGGATAGTGAAAAATGAGACAACCTGCAGGCTCAGAAATGACAACAAAGAAAAGCAGCAATCACACACTGCAGCAGGCAAAGCCACGGCCCCCGGTCCCAACTCACCTCGCGCTGGGCGTCGGCGGTGACCTTCAATCCCGTGGCGTTCGCCTTCAGCCACCGCTTGTGGTCGGCATCGGCCACGGCAAAGAGCCGCACGTTGGAGCGTACCGTGGCAGGGAGCGCGCCCAGCTTCCTACGACCAGCTGCTTTGGTATTGGGCGCCGCTGCAGCTCCAGCTTTATCGGCGTCCTCTGGGAACAGCGCGGCGAACCGCTCCTGTCGCGTGGGCCGGCGGCCGGCGGCGGTGCGCGGAGGCTGCGGCGGTCCGGCCGCGCCCGCGCCGAGCTCTTCTTCCTCACTGTAGTAGGACTCCTCATCCAGCTCGTCCAGCTCGCCGGAGAACTCGTTCAGCAGTGCTGACGAGGCGAGCGGGTCCCCCGGCGCGATACTGAGCCGGGCCGGGTCGCCGGTGACCGACGGCCGGGCGAGGCTCACGCCCGGGAGGGTGATGGAGCTGTAGTCCAGCGGTCCGCGTCGATCGCCGGCAGCGTCCGGGCCAGTCGGTGTGCGGCCAACGGCACCCTCCTCGCCTACCAGCGTGCTCTCCAGGTCATCAGACTCGTCACTGCCAGAGGCACCGTCTCCTGCCGCGCTGAGGTCGATGCGGCTGGGTTGACTGCGTCCTCCTTTAGAGCTGCAGCTGGAGTTTGCACCCCGTGAGCGGCTTCTGTTCGCTCCCGAGCCCCGAGAGGTGCGGCTGGCATTCGATACAGCTCCGCTGGACGGCTCACCGCCGCTCGGACTTCCACCCACCAGCGGCAGGCGAGACATGGGTAGCGCCGGCACCGGCGTCACCCGATCCATGGTCTCATCCAGCAGTGCCGAGATCGCCGACTGGTCCCTACTTCTGCCACCACTGCCCGACGATCCCAGCCGTGACCGGGAGCCGCGGTTGGTCGATTTGGTCGCCGAGCCACGCCTGCTGCTCGTCCCCAGACGACTGCGGCTCAGTTTGGATGACGAGGTTCGGTACAGGGCACTCACCTCGCCCGGGGAGTCGACCGGAGACGCCGACAGCATCAGACGTCGGCCGGAGCCGCCGAAAGACGACGACAGGCTATGGGCACCCTTCCGTGGGCCACCCACCCGTATCCCGGCTCCCTCTGAGTCCTCCCTCATTGTAGAGCTGAGCAGAGGAACAGCTGCTGTCACCGTCTCTGTGATGCAGGTCAGGTCCATGTTGGACGAGTCCATTGCGGAGGCTTCCATCACCCGACTGCGGCTGGCCCGAGAGCGCCTTCCATCCTTCCGCCGCGTCGAAGACCCGCCCCGTGCAGACCTGGTACTGCTGTCAAATGCAGGGGTGGTATTGACTGCCTCAGCATCCTGGTCAGGTACTACCGATTCCGGGGAGGCCATTACTCTACTGACACTCTTTGCTTTCGTGTACGATTCACTTGATCGTGTGTGGCCCTCGTAGTCCACATGACCCATATCATCCACTTCTTGAATGATGCCTGGATGACGAACTTCCATCTGCTCTACCGCACACGTTGCTTCCGTTTCGACATCTTGTCCTCGGTCTTCTAGTTCTTCTTCCTCGTTCTTTTCTCGTTTCCCCTCATCCGACGGTTCCTCCGCATCCTCCCACTCCTCATCCTCTCCTTCCTCGTGTAGCGTCTCATCTACGAACGACGCACCCGGCGGTGCCACACGCGACCGACTTCCCCGCACCTTCCGCCGTCGACCACTGGCCTCAGGACCCGCCAGCAGCGACAGCTCGCAGGCCGCCGCCGCCACCGCCGGAGCCAGCGTCGAATCCCGACCCACCGGCCGACGCAGAGATATCTCCGACATTCCCGTCAGCGAGCTGTTAGCTGTGACCGGGGACCGCAGCTCCGGAGCCCGGAATGAGCTCATGGTGGCCGATATGACGCCAGGATTGGACCCAGATGGAAACAGTAGAGCACTGATAGGCGCTGTGACGGTCTCTGTTGGCTCGGAAAGGATGGAGGCAGCTGCAAGAACTCGCGGTTCGGCAGAGGGAGGAGATCCGATCGGCACGGAGTTCGATGGATTCTCATCCTGATGAATCTTGGAGGACGTAAGAGATTCACGTTTCTCTGTTTCTTCGACGATCGGTGTAACGGTCATGTCTTCCACTGTCCCAGAGTCAGGCACATCGTCGCAGTCGTTGACGGCCGCCTCTCCTTCCAGCGTAGCATCGCTGTCAGCTCCCTCCTCTTCCTCCAACGTGGCGTCACTGTCAGAACACTCCTCTTCCGCGGCCCGCGTTGAAGAATGGCTCTCCTCAGTCATAGGAGGCGTGGCGTCCTCCATCACGACTGACAATGCAGTCCCAGCAGCATCCGCTTCTGGCACTGGCACATCGACTTCTTCGCATGTGGCTGAAACATTGCTTGCATTGCCTGAACGTTTTTCCATCCCCGACAGTCGTGAAGAAGTTGACGCTCGCGAGGCTGTAGAGGCCCTTGATGTCGTTGAAGCTCGAGAAGTGGTGGATGCTCTCGTCGCTCTGGAGAAGTTGGACGCGTCATTGACTGTAGATGACGCCTCCAGTCTCAGCGACATTTGCGAGGCCAAGGAGCCCGTCGCGGAGCGTCTGGGCGTGCTCTGCAGTAGCGGGGCGGCTGTCGAGAGGCGCAGCGAGGCCTGTGACAAGCTGCGATCAGCGCGGCTAGTCTGCTCGAGACTGCCAACTTGGTAGCTCCGACTCTTGTCCAGCCACGCCCCAACCGACTCTCGC